CTTTTTTTTTTTTTTTTTTTTTTTTTTGCTTCAGCTAAGTGATTTATTCAAAGACTTCTTGTGAGGTGCAGTGGGTATAATTTTTTTTTTAACATCTTTATTGGGGTATAACTGCTCCACAATGGTGTGTTAGTTTCTGCTTTATAACAAAGTGAATCAGTTATACATATACATATGTTCCCGTATCTCTTCCCTCTTGCTTTCACCTACATGATCTTATATAATTCTTACTTTAGCCCTGAAAGCTAGAGATTTTTTTTAATTCTAAATTTTATATTTATGTGGCTCAAAGAATCTAACGAAAATGTCCACGATCTTATGGCTCATCTGAAGCTAGTAGTTACATTTTCCTTATCCCCAAGTTATCTGATAAAGGCAAGAGCTAAATTGAAAGACTGAGAGATTTTATTTTATCCTTCACACATGCAAAGAGTCCAAGGACTTGCTTAATATGTCACTTTTAATAGTTACTCATTGAAATGTTCTATAGAAGTAACCTTCTCCATTTCACTGCCTTTGATATTTTTCTTCAAAAAATAGATTGAAAAGGGGGTATCTAATTTTATTTTTATAAATCCTCATCCTATTGACCTTTCTACTCCAGTCACACTGGCATCCTTGTTATTTCTGCAAATGACCAGCCCTCCCACCTCGAGGACTTTGCACCTGCAATACTTTCTGCTAGAAGGTTCTTTCTCAGAATATTTGCATGACTTTCCACTCATCTCCTCGAGATCCTTGCTCCAACATCGTCTTCTCAATGAAGCTTTCCTTGCCTAAGGATAATCTTGGAATCTAAAATTACAACCGTTCTCCTTCTCTATTCTTCATAAACCCAGACTTGGTAGATGCTCACTCAATAAATGCTAATTGAATAAAATAGATTGTGGGCTATTAAAAATATCTGATGTAATGGATACTCTTCACTTCTCACTGGTCCACTTTTCTGGGCCAGTACACTCATCCCCCAGCTACTGTGAGTTCACTGTTAATGGCACACAGGCATTTCCGTCTCTGCCTACCAGTTGGTAACTCTTTTGTTATACCTTGGAAAGATAGCCCATCTCTAATGTCTGGTTACAGAGTGGTACAAAAGGCTGCCCTCTTGACTCAACTAAGGACTAATTATGGTGCATTAATTGTCCAGACACTGAGGTCAGACTGAAGCTAGTCTTCAGCTGAAAACATAACCTGGATTAGTATTTTCCGTATCTCCATCCTGGTTTCTTCACTACCCTTCTCCTCAGTTTCCTTTTTTAATAAATCACTTGAATAAGAAGTTCTCATTTCAAGTTCTACTTCTAGGGAACCCAACCTAAAATCCCTGAAAAAAGGATGAGGATTTATTTAAAAAATTAGATATAAGATCATGTAGGTGAAAGTACATAATATAGTTCCTTACACGTGATCTGTAAATCAGCATAGATTCCCATTGGAGGACTAAGGGCACGGGTAAGACACTAAAGCAGATTCTCACAACTTTTGTCTAAATGTGTTTTTTTAAACTTGTTGCGGATTGAGTTCCTTGGGAAATAGACTCTAAGACAGTGGTTAGCTGCTGACAGTATTCCTGGGGGCTAGGGTGAAAAGTCAAAGGGGAAGCCAGGTAGCACATGACATAGGTTCCCACAAATCCTAACATGTTAGAAGAAAATGGAGACCTCTATTCTTTCATTCAATCGCTCACTCAAGAAATATCTATTGAACTCATTATGTCTATGGCACTGTGCTGGGTGCTAGAGATATAATGAGGAATAAGACTTGGCCCTTGACCTTGAAAAGTTAATGGTCAATTGTGGCAGAAGGCTTGTATGTAAACAAATAAATACAAGCTGGTGAGTGCTATTTCAGAAGTAAGAAAAAAGTACTATGGGAGCACAAAGGACAGAACAACTCAGCATGGGAATTTGGGGAACTCCTCACCTTGGCTTCACCACTCATTTATGTCTAAGTAGCTGAGCTATTTCTACAGACAACTACAAAGAAACTGCTTTTGCATAATATATCACTTTCCATAGGTGTTCACTGCAACATTTTGAACTGTTGTTTAGAGCAAGAGTTTGTCTCCAGACAAATGTGTGCCCCAAACTCTCCATTTAGCTTATGGCATATAGCAAATCACATTCTTTCTCAAAAATTACAAAGATTTAGCTATGTGTGTCAAGGGATATGTATTCTTCAACTCAAGGAAATTTTAAATGGCTGAAGGTAGATATCCTTAGGGGGAAAAACTTATTTAAGGGAAAAAATTAAGGAACTGTCACTATTTGCTGTCAGACTGATTCAACATGGTGGTCAGACATAAGTACTCAGCAAATGTTGGTTGTTACTCATTAATAAAAATTACTGAGTCACTCAATAATCAAATGCATACTGAAGGCCTACAGGAATTACTGAAATTATGTATTTTTATGCTCTTTAAAAGCGTAAGTTAGACTTCCACGATGTGAGTCTTGAAAATGACTTGATCATTGTCTGAACAACATATAATTTAATCGCTGATGTCAATGTATATTTATGAACTTTTGGAGATGCCCTAAAATAAAAAAGAAAACATTCCAGCTGAAAGTTCAAAGAAACAGAAAAACTAGAGCCTGATTTGGAAATTGGCCATGGAAAGCAGTGTGGAGTACCACAAAACAGGGACTTCTGAATCCCAGGAACCTGTGGCTTTTTACTTAATCTCTCTGAGCCTCAATTTCTTTATTTACTAGAAAGGGAAAATAATATTATCCTCCAAAGTTATTGTAATGTTTAAATAAGCTAATAAATGTTAAGTGCTTGGCTCAGAGTAAGTACTCACAAATGTCAGTCTCTTTGCCTTTCTATCCCCTGAAAACACTTCCTAAGAAAATTACAATGAGAGGTTACAATGTTTAATAGGACCAGCTCCATCGGTGAGTGAAAATAGCACTTTCATTTCAGTGTTCAGAAAGGTTAATGTCAATACACATTAAAATACCGATTGCATCATTAATGACCCATGCTGTCATTTACATAAATAGATGAGAGTCACAGTGCCTTGTGTACATAGAGAACTTTGAGAGTTTTTATAAAACAGCAGAAAGACCATGGACATTGCTGCACGTCGACTTGAATTTTAATTCCAGCATCCCTGCAAAGTAACTGTGTGACCCTGTAGCTGTGATTACTTAAGCTCTCTGAGAATCCATCATTCAATAAAATTGGGGATCAAATATTCTGACTCCATGGGGCTTTGGTAAGGATTAAATAAGATAACGTGCATTAAGTGTTGGGTATAGTCACGGTGTTTTAGTCGGTCAGTAAATGAGCATGGAATCTTGTGGCACCTCCAAGAATTTCATATCTGTCCTCCCCTTTTGGTTCCCCTAATTAACCCCTAATATCTATAACTGTCTTGCTCTTTCTTACTTTATGTTATAAAAGTTTTGAAAATAATTTCTCTGTGACATCAACCTTCACAGTCAGCTGCAAAGCCCATCCACTACATTTTATTCCAATGTATCAAATAGCGCCCAATACTGTGGTTAATAATATAGAAATGAAGTTTCAGGGCATAAACATTCATCAGATTGTGGATTGTTAGAGATATATTCTCTCTTCACCTCATTTTACAGATGAGGAGACTGTGATGATAAGGTTCCTCCTTTCCTGGGACGTAGAATATCTTCCAGGCACGTCACTGGCCATAAACAAGGTATAACTGACGTTAGCTCACGGTGTTCAGGATCACCTTCAGCCCATAAGGTAACACTTAATTTTTCTTTGATTATCGATTACTTTAATGCTATAAGAGTTTCCTATAATCTCTGACTTCAAATAGGCCTGCACTTGAATCTATAAATTTAACTCTGTCACCTTGACCACATTCCTCCACTTTTCTGACCCTCATTGCAAACTGGGGACAATAATGACTGTTATTAACTGGCATATAGTGTTCACTCCACACTATTAATCAACAGCATAATTTCTCTCTCCTTTATTTCTAGCAGACGATAATTTCTTTGATGTCAGATGCTATGTTTATGTATCTTTGATGTCCCAGATAAATCTATAAATGTTGATAGATTTAAACCTTTCTTTTTTAAGTTGACAAAACTTTAGCAACCGATTGCCCCAATGATTATTGAATAATAACTATCATTTGTTGAGCACTTATGTCATGCCAAGCACTGTTCTTTGTGTTTCACATTTATTATTTCTTTTAATTTTATATCCATCACTGAAGTTGGTACTATTATTATGACCATTTTACAGATAAGGAAGATGAGTCACAGATGTTAATTTGTTAATAATTTTCCAAAATTCACATATGCAATAAGTCGGAAAGTGAGGATTTGAACCCAGGCAAACTGAGTGCTCACTGAACTAAATGATTTACTCACAAGACTATTTTTAGAAGTTCAGGAGTAGAATAATCTGGATACATTTTCTTCAATCTTGTTGGTTGTTTTTGTTGTTTCTAATACTTCCTCATTCTTGGATCTCTGTTTTGCAAACCATATTATTGGAAACTATGGTAGTATCAATAGATTACATTGTATGACCCCTGTGTGATGTTCAGAGGAAAAGCTTCTGCCTTGAACTAACTAGATCCCATGACATTTTACTCAAAGTCCTTCCTGCCCTTGTCAGCAGCAGAATCAGCAGCTGTAGCCAGGAGTGTCAGTAAAGAGGCTTGATTAAATATAAATACATCTATGAAGTCATATTTAAGGCAAACTTTTTATGTCACTGCAGCTGGGAATAGAAAATGATTTTGGATTTTGAGTGTGAGATTAATTTCTCAATAAACGAGCCAGAAAAATATAGTGCATGGCACATATGGGTACCCTGAATCTAGCGACTGAGAAAAAATATTAAGGACAGTTTAAAAAACTTACCATGTGAAACATGCTGTAATATCTTTTGTTTATCTTCCCTCATAAAAAATTTCCTGGTAGGAAGATTGTAAGTGAAACATGTATAATAACATGCACTAGTGGCACCACTGAAAGTGAAATAGAAGCTTTTTTTCTCACTCACCTAACTATGGAGGAAAATGAATAACATAAATAGAATGCGTGTTAAACTCATCAGAACATACACTTGAAGATTTCCAGAAGCATTAGGGCTTTAATGGTAATTTGAGAGGATTTCTGGTTCTGGCCAAAATGAAGTAGCCCATTCCTTCTGGATTCTCCTCTTTAAAGCTAAAAAAAGTCTGGATACATCACAACAAGCAAGCACAGGAATGTAAAAAGGTGAAAATCAGGTGGGTTGCCTAGAGAATTAGGGAAATGAAAACGAGTTCCCTGTTTGCTCATTGGCTCCCATATATTCCAGAAAGGGCATTACAGAAGCTCTCAATCCTGAACATTCAACAGATTAAAAGAAGATATGAGAAACTCTGTTATCCCTAGTCAAATGACTGGGGAAGTCATGGTCTAAGACAGCAAAAAAACCTTTTTTGCACTACCGATCCTACTTAAGCCAAACACTCACAGAAAAGCTATTACCTCCTTCCCCATGGTTTCAGGAGGGTTGATTGAGTTGTCTGAGTTCTACCCACCCCACCAACCCACAGAAGCAGACACGGTGCTAGGATTACCCCACCCTGTGAGGAGAGTGCCTAGCAACTTGCTAATCTTTCATCCCAGCTCAATGCAAGCAGGAGGCACCCAGTTTCTCCAGCCAGCCAAGGTAGTGTATGTGGGTCTGAGCTGGGAGTTGCTCTTCCATCCCCCATTCAGCAGAAGTAGGCTGTGGATAGTGTCAGCAGGATTTGTTACTGAAATCACGTTAGGCTGCTCATCACTTGAAAGCCGATATTCAATAGACAAGTGTTTCTAGGAAAGGAAAGTTGCTTTATGGCAGAGGCCAGCAACCTGGGGAGAAGGTGGACTCATGTCCTAAAGAACCAACTCCCCACTGCCGATCAAGGGCAAGAGCTTTTAAAGGGGATTTTCAGGGGTGTATAGCTGAAGGGAGGGGGCTACATGCAAAACAGCACAGTCAGCTCCAAAAATCAACTTGAAATTGGTCATATAGCAGTCTGATCAGTGTCATCTTGATTGTATGAAGTAGTTAATCTTCAGTTCCAGGGGCTTCCCTGGTGGCGCAGTGGTTAAGAAGTCGCCTGCCAATTCAGGGGACACAGGTTTGAGCCCTGGTCTGGGAAGATCCCACATGCCGCGGAGCAACTAAGCCAGTGTGCCACAACTACTGAGCCTGTGCTCTAGAGCCCACAAGCCACAACTACTGAGCCCGAGCGCCACAACTGTGAAGCCCGCACACCTTGAGCCTAGGCTCCACAACAAGAGAAGCCACTGCAGTGAGAAGCCCACACACTTCAATGAAGGGTAGCCCCTGCTCGCTGCAACTAGAGAAAGCCTGCATGCAGCAACCAAGGCCCAACGCATCCAAAAATTAATTAATTAACTAATTTTAAAAAAATCTTCAGTTCCAGGGTTAGTTTGTTCCATTTCCTTGAGGCCAGCTCTTGGAATTGTTCAAGCTGGAGCAGCTTATATCATGGCTCCAGTCTAGTCATCATGTAGTTAACTTTCTTCACCTGGTGAGGGCTTCAGTATCTGCAAACCAGCTCAAAGGATATGGCTCAGAATATTATCTATAGCCCTTGAGAAGGAACTAAAGGTCCTTGACTTTGTTTAATGGCTAAACTATAATTTTGTCTTGTTTGACTGCTTTCCTTTGCTTCTGCATTTTCTCACTGCTCTGATTAAATTTATTCTTTGGCTAAAGTTTTTCTATAGGCAAGAGGCAGGCTGAGAACATGGGGGAATCTGTCCTGGGAACGCCCCATAGGGGCCTTCCAGTGGCTAGCTGAGTCTCCACCTCCATCTGGTAGCAATTAGACTCCACTAAGTGGTGAAAGTCAGAGGAAATCAGCATCCTACTTTGCTCCACCCCTGGTGTCACTGGGAGCTGGTGGGGAGCCAGAACTCCACAAACCCACCTGGCACCAATGAGAGTGACCAAGACAGTGGGAGGCAGAGCTACTTAACACTCGACTTCTAGCCATACACAGCTCCTCACCTGTGTCAGAGGGGTGCAGTCGGGAGCTGAGCCTCCACCCCTATCTAGCCTCAATGAAATAAAGTGAGTTGATTCCCAGTGGGGGCTAGGTGAGACTCCTGATATCCTCTATTAACTGGATACCCTCTATTAACTGTGTTTTATTCCCTTTTCCAATTCCTTACTCCTCCACAGATGTTTCCTTCAGCTCCCCCCAAAAAATACTTGTGCTTAAATCCTTGCCTCAGGGTCACCTTCAAAATGAGACATCATTCAACTAATACTTACTTGAGCATTTTTTAAGTTCAGAGTATTATTGTAGGAGTTGCTGCATTTGTGAAAAATATTATAAAACAAATCATCTCTATTGTCATGGAGTCGATATTTTGGTGGAGGAAACAGATTCATCATATTAAAAAGAAATTACAATTGTTTAACTGCTATTAGGAGAAACGAGATGGCATAGGGACAATATAATGCTAATGAAAGGTATCAAGTCCCTTAGGATTCATCACCATCCCATCTCATAATCCAGGTTTGAGTACAGCCTTATAAACTGTTCTTCTGCAGTGCTCCAGCTTTTTCTAGAAGGCTTGTAGATAGTGGTTAAAGCAACCCACACTTATTCATTCATTTATCTGTCAAATAAAACTTTATCAAGAATCAAATATGGGTCGGGCACTGTATGACACAGTTGACATGTTACTGGTACTATGAAGTGTTGAATCAAATAGAACACAACAACCGACAGAGAATGAAGTATTGACTTAAACAGAAGAGAATGATGGAAGAGAAAAAACTTCTTGGTAACTAGAGGAATAGGAGGTTTCAGCACTGAGGAAATCACATCCCCTCTTCCTGCCCCAAAATAAGAGGGTTAATATCAGAATGCAAAGATAGATTATTCTTCTCTCAATTTCAATTGAAAAACTGAAAGGTTCATAGACTAAAAAAGAATGAAAGCTATAAAAATGTACTTGGCAAGTACATTTCAATTTATTTCAGTTCATTGTCCCTTATCTATCTCATCTAAATAGTTCCTTTACGTTAACAGGATAGAATTGTGAAGTATTCAGTGGGGACCACAGAAGCAGGAACTGTATCTTGTTCAATGATGGACTCAATCTTTTATTCCCATTGTGCCTTTGTATATGCCCTAACCTTCAAGCCTCAGCATCCTGATATTTCTGCTGTGATTAGCAAGTGCCAAATCAATTTAAGAACCATCGCACTGAACATTCAGGAGTTAAATCATCCCTTGAAGACTGAGATAGAATTGATTCTGATATTGGTTTTATTGAGTCACTTAATTCTATTTAAAAGGAGAGGGGAGCCTAAATGTAAGAAATATCTGGAAGCCAGTGGTACCATATTCCACACAGGCCTCCTCTTCTTGGGTCTGTCATCTATGAAAGGCGATCCCCTGGGTTACACCAGCATCAGATAAAATATTTTTTATGGCTTTGATGTGACATTCTGTTTTTTTCAATATGTATCATCACAGTGCCAATATATACCAAAGACATCATTAGTTTCTCCATCATATGTTTTCAAAATACCTCAGAATTTTCCTGTATCTATTTTTAACACATTGACCACAACTGTACTGAAATCATTAACTGAAGAAATTATTGTTTAATATTTTTCTTCACTGCTAAAATTTGCTCTGCCTTGTTCATCACTGAAGGTCCAATATTTAGAAAAGTGTGTAGCACAAAGTAAATACTTGT